TGAAAGTAGTTTGTACTTCTTTTTCCCGCCTTTTTTCCCGGAAAGGTTGCAATAAGGAGATAATTTTCCCGTCAGCGCCGTATGATCCCTGTAGGAGTTCCAACGCTGGCTCCTGTGCCAATCATGTTTCCCACGCCCGCGCCGTGTGGGCGGTAATAACCTCGCTAATGCTCGCCCGTTCAATATATTCTTTTTCTCGACTCGAGGGCGTGCGGGCGGAGGGAGGGAATTTCAGGGACTATTTTCGTGCTGCTGATAATTAGGGGATATCAGACAGACAGACAGACAGACTAACATGTGGCATACAGACAGACAGTTAGTTGAAAATTGAGACAGATATATTTAAAGGGAAACGGAGAGAGAGAGAGGAGAGAGAAGAGAGAGAGAGAGAGAGAGAGAGAGAGAGAGAGAGAGAGAGAGAGAGAGAGAGAGAGAGAGAGAGAGAGAGAAGAGAGAGAGAGAGAGAGAGAGAGAGAGAGAGAGAGAAAGGGAAAGGGAGAAATTAAAAGAATAAGAAAAAAAAGAACGACAGAGAAAAGGAGTAAATATAAGAAACAGATAAGAGAAAAAAAAGAGAGGCGGTAGAAGGAAAAAGGAGAGCAACAAACACCGATAAAGGAGGGTGAAAGAGAGAGAGACGGAGATCCATGAGGTCGGAGAACAGACAGACATCCGCTGGTTCTTAATAGGGTCGTTAGCGTTCTGTAATTGCGAGAGGAAATGTCCCCCTAACTTTATCCTCGCGCGACCGTGCAGGTTCGGAGTGAGAACGGAAACTGGCAGGCTAGTTCATGAATAGCAATTAAGGAGCAGGAGACGGATTCCGCTATTAGTTAACGCGGCGGTTATTTAGCCACGTGTGACCTCGTGTTCTGTCGCGGAATCCAGAGCCGGTGCTGCTCGAGGCCTTCCGGCGGGGGGGGGGGGGGGGGAGCGCTGCAGCCGGAAGGGGCGTGACCTGTCGGGCCCCGTGTTGAAAGCAGCCGACCTTGCCTCGGACCGGGCAGAGGCAGCTACCTTGGCTTGCCAGCAGAGGCAGTGACCTTGTCTTAGCCATAGCAGAGGCCTGATCACAGCTACAGCAGACGCGCGACCTTCGCCACAGTCCACCGGCAGCCGGTCGAGACGCCTTGACAGCAGGCTAAAAGATTCAAGCCCCCGGACGAGGCAACAGAGGGGCGTTCGATGGCGTGTCGCGGAATACGACCTCCGGGGCCGTGGCGGTCGTCTGGCGGGGCACGACCGAGGTGCGGCTGCGAGCGAGGGTCGTGGAGGGGAGGGAGGGGAGGGAGTGGAGGGAGTGGGGGAGTGGAGTGGAGGGGAGGGGAGGGGAGTGACGGGGGTGTGGATCGCTTGTGCTGAGGCTGCGCTTTCGCTGTCGGGCTCACTTCTACTCTCTCTGTCTATCTAGCTGTCTGTCTGTCTAATTCCTTCCCTCCTTTCATCTCTCTCTCTCTCTCTCTCTCTCTCTCTCTCTCTCTCTCTCTCTCTCTCTCTCTCTCTCTCTCTCCTCTCTCTCTCTCTCTCTCTCTCTCTCTCTCTCTCTCTCTCCCTCTCTCTCCTCTCTCTCTCTCTCTCTCTCTCTCTCTCTCTCTCTCTTCTCTCTCTCTCTCTCTCTCTTCTCTCTCTCTCTCTCTTTTCCTCTGCTCTCCTCCCTCCTCCTCTCTCCCTCTTTCCTCCCTCTCTCTTCCTCCTCCCTCTCTCCCTCCCTTCCTCCCCTCCTCTCTCCTTCCTTCCCACTCAATCACTCACCCACTACATATGTACTCTCCCTCTCTCCCTCTCGTGCGTCGTGTCCCTCACTTCCTCTCCCTATTTCACTCGTTCAACTATTTACATGTTAACTCAGTCATCCTGTGTGGTGTGTGTGTGTGTGTGTGTGTGTGTTTATTTTTATATGCAAATTTATGCAGTTTGAGAGAGAGAGAGAGAGAGGAGAGAGAGAGAGAGAGAGAGAGAGAGAGAGAGAGAGAGAGAGAGAGAAGAGAGAGAGATAGAGATAGAGATCAAAGAGAGATAAAGATGTGCAAGATGCAGAGAGAGAGAGAGAGAGAGAGAGAGAGAGAGAGAGAGAGAGAGAGAGAGAGAGAGAGAGAGAGAGAGAGAGAAGAGAAAAGAGATAGAGATAGAGATCAAAGAGAGATAAAGATGTGCAAGTTTATGCAGTTTGAGAGAGAGAGAGAGAGAGAGAGAGAGAGAGAGAGAGAGAGAGAGAGAGAGAGAGAGAAGAGAGAGACAGACAGACAGACAGACAGACAGACAGACAGAGAGACAGAGAAACCCCTCTCGCATAAAATGTATATCCGCGTGCGAATAGGACCAATTCGCCCATTTTCCTCTCTCCGCCACATGATCCCCGCAGGAGATGCAGTCGCAGCCGTGACGTCACCATCAAATACGCCTAAGTACGCATCGCATCACGGAGTCCGTACGCCACTCGAGCAGACGGTCCAAATGACGTCATTAGTTGAGTGCGAACTCATAAGACACGAGTCATTAACGCTGATTAACCTGTATAATTATGACCTGATAGCAAAGCCCGTTGTTTTGATGCTGCAAAAAAAAAAAAAAAAAAAAAAAAAAAAAGCGAAGAATACGCATGGGTGAACGTGATAATTTTTGGACCTGAAAGTTGAGAACATTTTTTTTTCTCTCTCTTTCTTTTTTTAATTTGTTTGTTGGGTGTTCATATTTTCTCACGCCTTAGTGCATACGGCGATAAAGCTTTGGTGTATAAAATTTATTCTGCTGTGTTATTCATTTGGATCTCGGCGGGATAATTATTGGATAATGAAAGCAGCAGCGAATTGTGGCTTATCCGGGCTCGCTGCAGAGAGGGAGGGATATCAAAATGATTCCGTGTTTTTTTATTATTATTTATTCATATCCTGTGGAGATGTTTTTTTTTTTTTTCTTTGATTCATTAGGATTTGGATTTTGTTTTTTGTTTATTTTTTTTTTTTTTTTTTTTTTTTTTTTTTACGCTACGAGTGGTATTTTTGTTCCGGTTTGGAAAGTTTATAGATTATTCTGGTCTTTAACGTTGGAGATGGCATTTATTCTCTCTTTCTGTCTTTCTGTCTCTCTCTCTCTCTCTCTCTCTCTCTCTCTCTCTCTCTCTCTCTCTCTCTCTCTCTCTCTCTCTCTCTCTCTCTCTCTCTCTCTCTCTCTCTTCTCTCTCTTTCCCTCTTTCTTCTCCCTCTTTTCCTCTCCATCTTTTCCCTCTTTCTTTCTTCCTCTTTCCCTCCTTCTTTCTCCCTCTTTTTCCTCTCCATCTTTCCCTCTTTCCCTCCCTCCTTCTCCCCCTCCCCTTCCCCCCCCCTTCCCTCCCTCCCACCCACCCAACACCATCTGTACCCATCCCCCGTCAGCAAAAGGCATTCCCAGCCGTTCGTATATATTCAACCGCGCATCTCAAAGTCACTGTTGTTTACCGGTCCGCAGTAATTATCGCCTGTAATTAACATATCGGGGCAGGTGTTTGACGCAGCTGACACGGTGTCAGGAGTTTGAACGCGCTGGGATAAACCGCAGTGTAGTTGCCGCGGCCGCCGCAGCAGACGGGGTGGCGCTGGCGGTCCTCGGCTTGGTGTTCAGTTGGTCTCGTCACTCTCGCGTCTGCGGCTGCGGCGTGGCTCTGGTGCGGGAAGGGCTGGTGGGTCGGGTTGTTGGTTTGGGAAGGGTGGGAGAGAAATGCGGTTGAGGTAGGGAGTGGATGCATGTACGTACTCGCGCAAGCACACACGCACGTACATACATGCATACATACGCACACATACATACGAGTATATCCATACATCCATACATACATACACATACACTCACACTCACACTCACTCACATTGTATGAATGTATATATATAAGTATGAGTGTGAGTGTATACATACACACACACTCACACTCACATTTGTATGAATGTATATATAGTATGTGTGTGTGTGTATGTCTGTGTGTATTCATTTATTTATATATTTATACATACATGCATACATTCGTGTGGGTATATTTATATGTGTACGTGTGTCTGTGTTTGGTTGTGAGCATGTGTACACACACGTGTCTGTATCAGTATCTGGATCTGTATTAAGGGCCGTTGTACTTACAGAACATGTGCTCAGGTGAATGAGAAAATAAACTTAACGATATAACAAAATTTAGCTAAATAGATTTACCAGCGGAACTACATTAAAACTATAAACTTATCTATATGTAACTACATTTAATCAAATGTGAATATTGCAATATTCAGAAATACAAACCTGCCTTTTGTAACGAAATTTAACAAGTGTAACTACATTAAAACTATATACTTATATATATGTAACATTTAACAATATGAAAATATGAAAAAAAAAAATCTATATGTAACTACTTTTAACGAAAGGAAAATATTACAATATTCAGAAATACAAACCTGCCTTTTTATGATGAGATTTGTCTATTTAAACTACAAACTTATATATATACATAACATTTAACTAAATGGAGATATTACAGTATTCAGAATTACATACCTTTTTATAACGAAATTTAACTTATATTCAAACTATAAACTTATCTATATGGATTACATATTTAAGTCTATTTAAACTACATACTATATATATAACATTAAAACATATTACAGTATTCAGAATTACATACTTTTTTATAACGACTATTTGTATCTATATGAAATTACATATTTAAGTCTATTTAAACTACATACTTATATATATATATATAACATTTGACTAAATGAAAATAATACAGTATACAGAAGTACATACATTTTTATAACGATATTTGACTATATTCAAACTATAAACCTATCTATATGAAATTACATATTTAAGTCTATTTAAACTACATACTTATATATATATATATATACATTTAACTAAATGAAAATAATACAGAAGTACAAACCATTTATAGCGAAATTTCACCAAACTGTATCGATCGCCATAACGAGATTTACAACTCGACTCTCTCTCCCCCCCCCCCCCCCCCCCGGCAGCTGGAGGACCAGAACGCCCACCTGCGGGAACAGAACGCCAAATGCAACGTCCAGCTGGAGCTCCTGAGGGGTCGCCTCGCCCACCTGTCCTCCATGCACAACGAGAAAGACCGCGACACTGAGGTAGGTTCTCTTTCGTTGTCTCTTTCTCTTTTTCTCTCTCTTTTTCTTCTTCTCTTTCTCTTTCTCTTTCTCTTTTCTCTTTCTTCTCTTTCTCTTTCTCTTTCTCTTCTTCTCTCTCTCTCTCTCTCTCTCTCTCTCTCTCTCTCTCTCTCTCTCTCTCTCTCTCTCTCTCTCTCTCTCTCTCTCTCTCTCTCTCTCTCTCTCTCTCTCTTCCGGTTGTCTTGGCTCTTGTCTCTTACCCGTTTCTCTCCTTTTCCTTCTCCTGTTCCCCCCGCCCTCTCTCTCTTACTTTTTTCGCTTCCTTTTCTCTCCTTCCTTTTCCTTCTCTCCCTTTTGTCCTCCTATCTCTCTCTTTTTTCACCTCTTATTGGTCTACTTTTTTTCCTCCCTCTCCCCTTTCTCCTTTTCCTCCTCCTCTCCCCTCTCTCCTTTTCTCCCTTTCCTCCATTTCTCCCTCATTCCATCGTCCTCCATTTCCTCATTCCCTTTTTCCTCCTCCTTTTCTCCCCCTTACCATCGTTTCTCCTCCTCCCCCCCCCTCTTTTTCCCTTCCTCCTCTTCCTCCTCCTCCCCTCTCTTTCCCTTTTCCTCCTCTTCCTCCTCCTCTCACACGTCACCCTCTCTTTCCCTTTTCCTCCTCTTCCTCCTCCTCCCCCTCTCTTTCCCTTTTCCTCCTCCTCCTCCTCCTCTCACACGTCACCCTTCCTCCACGACCTTCGACCATCCACCCGCGCGTTCTCAGTCGTTAGATAACAGCGGCGAGAGAGATGCTGCGTCGCTCGTGGTCCCTCTGCTGTCGGCTGCCATTGTCCGGGTATCTATTTCGCTGCGTCGTAAACAGCGGACACTGCCTCCCTCACTCACCTGTTCGGTATATTTTCTCGTCCTCTTTTTTTGTTCTTTTCGGAATGGACGCTGCGGCACGGGACGGAGACGGGGTCGAGATAAGCCCGCAGTGGGGTCCGGGGGATCTCTGCTGTAACTGAGCTCGTCATGGAGTTTTCTTTTTCAAATTCTTTGGTATTTTCGTGAGTGGGAGTTGTGTAAGCATTCTATTCAGGGAGTAGATATAAAGTAGAAGTCATTACAGTTATACGTCGGGATTTGGCAGTGTAATAAAGGTGGCAGTGTCGTAATGTAGCGTCTGTGTCATATCAGTGACATGGCAGTCTGACATCTCTGTCATGACCGAGGCGAGGGCAGCGAAGTGACACGCTAAGCACCCCGCCTGTGTCGTGACCGGCCGGGTTGTGTCATGGTCAAGGCCTCCCATCCTCACCCTGCTCCCCCTTTCACCTCAATCTATAACCGTGTTCTCTGATTAGCCTAGATAGAGTAAGAGTACAGCATGTTCTTACATGTCAGAACAGCACAACTGTTGTCTTGCAAGTACTGTCTAAAACAGACTTGGTCTCCACATGATAAACAAACACACATGGACAAAGACGGCTTCATACAGTACCGGGGAAGGACTGAGCTGCCCAGGTGTCCCGCGGTCCTCAGTCGGTGCTGAGTGGCCGCGCTGACCGGACGCTCAGCCTCCCCGGCGGCGCTGCTGACCTCGGCAATGAATCGACCCCAACGCTGTCGACCCCGACCTCAGGGTGTAGGCTGTGACGTGACACCTCGCTGGGTCAAGGAGGTGAAGGTGGCTTCATGTGTAGCGCGCGCGAGATTCACTCTAATGATTAGCTCTCTGACTGTGGAACTGTTGTAGCTTATGCTATTTAGTATATTCGAGATGAATGCTAATGACCTTGATTTGTTATAATGATCTACATTGAATGAAAATCTATAGTAGGCATTGCTCTTTGCTGAATCCCTTGCAGAGGCCCAGAAACTGAGCGGCCCTTTGCAGCACACCCACTTCATGGTTAGGGAAGTGTTGGTGTTTGAAGTGTAACCGAGTCTAGGCGGCACCTACTTTGCGGAGTGCTTTTTCCTCACCTTCTCTTGTTTCCTTGCCAATGCTTTTATATATATATATATAATGTAAGAGAAAAAATATATATATCCCTAGCACTGCATTGACCCCGAGCTTAGACTCTTTTAAACAGATGAAAGGGGTTTTGTGCACTCTCGTAGATTTAACATACAATGGATCAACTCCCTCCCCTTGATGTCTCGTAGCAAGTTCACTCAATGGGCCCAAAATCCCTCAAGTTTACCCCCTGTGACTAAAGCTCAGAGTCCCCTGTTCCCCAATCTATCACCGTGGCTTCACCCAGCTCTCCTTTCCAGCGGTTATGGAAAAGGAGGTCCCTAAGTCTACCTAAGGTATGGCGGCGCTGTCTGTGTGGTATTGCTTGAGTTGCTTGTTGAAAGGGAGGGGCTTGTGGGAAGGGGGGTGGGGTGGGGGTGCAGGGACAGGCCGGGCTAAGGGCGTGGAAGGAAGAAAATGCTTTACACTCTGTTAGCATTCCAAGGCATCCCGAGGCGCAATGACAAAGAAGCCACAAATCACATGTACCTTTCGTGTCACCCTTAAATCTTGAACGTGTCCGATTGTGAAGGAATGTCTTGGAAGGGGAAGGTGAATAAGCGCATTTTCACACTGCACTAACACCAGCTTACATATTCCTCTTTTGGCTTCTTTAACTGCTGTCAGCCTGTTTTTTTTATATCCTTTGTTTTTTTTAATCTTAATTTCCTTTGCTCGAACTTTACTTGCAAGAAACCTGTT